AACCGATAAGGGTATTCTACTTGGCTATTTAGAGACGTCCAGAGCTTATGAAGTGTATAACTTTAGGACGTGAACTATGAAAGAAACCATACATGTAAAATTTAATGACTATTACTAATGACATTTAAAATTCTTTGAGAGTGTTTCTCAATTATTTTATTGAGAGTTATTGATATTAGGTAGAAACTAAGAAGGATACCGGAGGAGGTTAATACTCATTATCTAGCAAGGTATATGTAGTCATGATATTTGGAGATGTTTATACTTGTGTAACTTAGAGAGATTTATGTATTTGTTTGTAGACAAATTTATTTTATTAGTGGACCCTCTTAAGTAAACTACTTAAGGGAGAACTGAATGTAGCTTATGAAATTAGGGTGAACCAATATAAATCTTTCTTTTATGCTTGATCTATTTTCTGCTAAGTATTTTAATTTATTAAGTGATAAAAGAGTTTATAATGTATTCAATCTTCTCTTCCTATAGACATCTAGACCAAGAACAGTATGATTCATTCCACTTGGTCTCACCTCAACCTCACATAGAGTTGACTTAAGTCAACTTTGGTCTGAATTGAAACAACTCGACCTAAGCCTAGGTTAACTTAATTTAACCTAGGACGACTCGACTCGTTTCAACCTAGGACATCCTAACTTAATTCGACATAGTTTCATTCGACTAAGTTTGACCTAGTCCAACTTGTCTCGACATCAGCTAATTGGAACTTAGCCTAACTAAATTTGCTCTTTGGCTTTGACCAACTTAAATAGGCCTAGATTTCAAACTGATTTGGCTCAACTTGAACACACTTTAATTTTAAATTTTAAATCTAAAAAATTGTTCAATAATCCATCAAAATTCAATAATATATTTTGAACTTAAAATTCAAAATATGGATTTGAATTTGAGAATAATACAATTAAATGAATTTAAAATAATATAGATTTAGATAATTACGATTGAATTTAAAAATTTAAATATTTTGATTACTTTTATAATTGTATATTATCATGCATATATGTAATTTTTTTATCAGAAAAAATAAACAAATATTAAAGTAGAACACATGCTCAAACCCTCTCACAAAATATGTTCCAAGTAACAACTAATTTAAAATACATATATGTTAGTACCATTATATTAGTGTATATTAGAAGCTAAATGTAACTCACTCCTAATAGATAAATCGACATTATATGCCAACTAAAAACAAAGGACAAGAAGTTGAAAGTTGTTGCTTTAATTTTATTATTAGGTTCAATTTTTTTTATATGGTTATTTTAGCTAACTCTTTTTAATGTTTAATCGATATTCTTAACCTTGGAAAAGATAATTATTTTAAAATTTATAAAGCTTATCTTTTATAATTTCTCAAAATGTCACAATAAAATATAAAATATATACGATTTTTTGTATGTTAAATTTTGAAAATATTTTTTTTCAAAATTAATATAATATATTCCTGTAATTATAATATTATACATATAATTTCTTTTTATATAATTTTAATTTAAGTCTCGTTGTTATATGTTTTATTTATCTAAATTGAAAATTCTAAAAATGTTTATGTAATAAATTTATTATTTTCCTGACTCAAAACAAAAAGGTAACATAAAAGTTGTCTGCAAACATACGAAACACACGTGTCAGTCGAACTTCTTTTCTAGAATCTTTTCTTTTCTGAGCAATTTATTTTTATTCAGCTTCGAACTACCAGTATGCAGCATCACTGTCCGCTACAACGCACACTTATTCGATTTTGCCATATTCAAGCCAATCTCAAGTTTTTACATTCTTTTATTGAATCCAAAAAATGATTTAATTATTTTAAAATAAATATTAAGTATTGGAAAGAAAAAACAGATAGATAATTATAGGATGAAAGTAGGAAGTATCTCTAACTCGAACAATTAGGAGTTATCCCTTAATAACGTTAAAATGTAAAATATCGTAAAGTCAGTTTCACTTTCCACCGCCTGACAAGCTTAGCTGTAATAACAAAAATAAGAGAAATGAGAAGATCTATTATCTATGCAAATCAACGGTCCAGATTTTGCTTTCTATCTCCCTCTCCGTGACCTGACTGAGATTGCTTCAATTTCTACTAAGATTAACAATATAATAATATGAAAAATAAAAACAAAAGTTAATATTTATGTGTTGTCTTAAATTCACATCCTTGTTCTTGTATGTCAATCCGATCAGATTCTCAAGTCAATGGTTTTGATTTGAGGGTTCCTTCGCACACAAAGTAAGCTTCACCGGGACTCTAGTATTCTTGGCTCTACAGGTATTGTTGCATCGTTTTCTCTTTTATTATTGTGTTCACTGATAAATTGATTCCTTTTGGCACATATGATTTTTTATTATATTAGTATCAATTTTTTTTTTAATTATTGGTAATATTTTAAATCCCCATATTCTGATTATTTTTTTCTCCCTCTTTATACTTTGTTTCATTCATGGAACCTCGACAAAACCCTAGGATGAGTTAATTTTCTTGCTTTTACTCGCAGCCTAGGTTGAATTTTGAGAAACGAATTTTCTTGTTTGATGGGTACGGTGGAGGCTCCATCAAAGGTACCATCTGGGTGTTCATCGCCTTCTCCAGAGATTGATAAGAATGAGCTCAGGGAAGCTCTGTGTGCTTTGAAAAATGGGACCTCAGAAAACGGGGTTGGTTTCATTGGCCAAGGAAACCAAGGTTTGAGGGATGGTGGGGGTGTTGAAGTGGTGAAGGACAGGGTCTCCGAGACCAAGTTTTCGGATGAGATGGGTTTTTCGGAGAGAGAAAGGGAGGATGGCTGCCAAGGTTTGGCTGATTCTGAGATGAATGGGGTCTCCTCTTTGTTGAAAATGAGAGAGAGTGGTAGGAACTTGATGTTTTCTCATGGTGGTGAGAGTGATAGTACTAGGAAGTTGAACAATGAGAACGGTTCTTTTGAGGTTGGAATGGAAGGTGGGAGAGATCTGACCAAAATTGAGAGTGAGGATGATCAAATTGGGAAAACTTTGTCTGTAGATGTTCAAATTGCTGATATAAGTGAAAACAAGGATGTGGAAATGGAAGATTTGGGTGGTGAAGGATGTGGTGGGTATTCTATTGGAGATTTTGTTTGGGGGAAAGTGAAGAGTCATCCCTGGTGGCCTGGCAGGATTTATGACCCTTCTGATGCTTCTGATTTAGCTTTGAAGCTGAGACAAAAGAATAGAATTCTTGTGGCGTATTTTGGAGATGGAACCTTTGCTTGGTGCCATCCTTCTCAATTGAAGCCATTTGAGGAGAACATTGAGGATATGGTGAAGCAGAGTGCCTCCCGGGCTTTTATCAATGCTGTACAGGAAGCTGTAAATGAGGTTGGAAGGCTTTTGGAATTGAAGATGAGTTCTTTATTTGCTGAGAAAGAAACTGAATTTTCTCGGCCACTGGCAGGCAATTCTGGTGTCAAAGAGAGAATTCTTATACCTGAAAATGGTACAGAGAAACTTTCCGATGTTCTCGTTGATCCGGCAGAATTACTTTCTCGAGTGAAACAAATTGCAGAAATTATTTCCATTGCTAATGTTCTGGAGCTGGAAATATTGAAGGCTAGGCTTTCAGCCTTTTATCTATCAAGAGGAGGTTATAGATTACCTATGTATCAGGCACCCCAGCCAATTCCTGGACTTGAAGATAGTGTAGAGGACAATAATGTAGGCAGCAGTGAGGGTGCAGTGGAAGTACCTGTCCATGGACCATTTGAAGAGGACTACTCTACCGTGCCATTGAGCCCAAAATCTGGTGGATTGAATCCACTTGGGATTTCAGGAAATAGGTTGAACCATAGGATTAAGCAGAAAAGCATTGCTGAAATTATGGGAGAGGACAAAGATGTCAGTGCCAAGAATAAGGAGGGAGATGCAACTCAAAAAGTGACTGTTCGAAAGAAGAGGAAAGGCACTGAGGATACAATGGTATCTAAACCTATGAAGAAGAAAAAAGAGTTGTTCCCAAATACTGATAAAAATATGGCAGGTGCCGACAATGATGGTTATAGCTGGGGCAAGGAGACCAGTGACGATGGAGCTTTAGCGCAGTTGAGGAAAAAGAACAAGCTTTTTGGTATTGGAAAAGCTAGTAGTAGTGCAAGCCAAAAGGAAACTGATCAAGAAGGGAAGGCCAAAGGAAGCAGTGAGAAGGGTTCTCTGCCAAGAGAAAGGAAGAAAAGCAAGTACTTATCCCCTCCTTTCACTATTCCAACCAGAGACCAGAGGAAAGGAGAGATTGAAACAGAATCCCCTAAAGTTTCTGGCAAAGATCAGGTATCAGAGCCAATGACCACAGCTTCTGACAAACTTCTCGAGTCCCCTGTACCTTGGAAGTTGAATGGTGAGCCATTACAGGATAAATTTTCTAAGGAACTTGCAATAGAACATGACCATCCCGATAGCTCAAATTACCAAACATCAAAATACGATGAGAACAAGACTATTGATACAACAAAAGTCCAGGTTCCATTGGAGGAAGTACTACATGAAGTTCGTTGTGCAGCTATTAATCAACAAATTCCTACGGATACCAATTCTCTTGAAAGACTTGCGGATTTTATTTTTATCTACAGAAGCTGCATATTTTTCCAAGGATCCAACTACAAAGTATACAAGAAGCTTAAACCTGGCAAGAAGAGAAAGAAGCCAGAATCTGATATCGGAATGCGGGGGAAAGATCAAATACAATCTGATCATAAATCAGCTAATAAAGATTCAGAGCCAAAGAAACGAAGAAGAAAGAATGAGACAACTTCAGGTTTTCCTAAAGAGAAGGAATCTGCTACACCTAAGGCTGGCAAGAAGGGGACTGATAAAAATGCTTCAGGCGCTGCTACCCTTTTTGCCTCATTTGAGCCAGGATCCTCTGTGCCTTCAAAATCGGATCTTGTTGCACTGTATAGTAAGTTTGGTGCTCTGAATGAAGCAGAAACAGCTTTGTTTTCTAGTGATTACACTGCTCAAGTGTTCTTCCTGAAAGCCTCTGATGCTGAAAAGGCCTTAAGCGATTCACTGAACATGAACCCCTTCGGCTCTTCCAAGGCCACTTTCAGACTCCAGTATCTTTCTTCTGGTTCCAAGTCTGAAAAATCTAAGTCCAAAGCTTCTTCAACGAAGAAGAAAGAAAAAACTCCAGCCAAGCCATCTACTTCACTGTCACCAGGTAGTGAAGCATCCAAATTGAACTACATAAAGCAGAAACTTCAGGGTCTCACCTTAATTCTAGAAGCATCGGATGCTAAATCATCTGATATCAAGACAAAATTAGAGAGTGAGATGAAAGGGCTTTTGGAGGATGTGAACAAAATGGTTGAATCTTCTTCCTAAATAAGGCATGGAATACTAGCAACTATTTAGCTGGTAATCAGGGTAGGTTTATGGTATGTTATTTCCATTTAGTTGACTGTCTTTATTTGAGGATCAATTTATTTGTCTCGTTTCTGAGCCTAGTTTTATTGAAGAGGTAAAATTACTCATATCAGTTTGTTGTGTAGGATATGTAACATGTTTTATGCATAGGCTGTATAGACACCGACATCTATTTAGATTTTCTGTACCTTATGATACTGGTGAACAAACAGCTTTTAAGGATAAGAGGTATAATGTTTTCATTTCTGTAATGTGTGAAATACTTTAATTATGGCATATATGCAACTCTTGATGATGATTAAATAGGAGAAGAGATGGTGGAACCTTTGTGTTGAAAAAGTTCTTCCCTCTGATGGGTTTATTCTCTCATGCAGCCTTTAATTGTGGATATCAGTGGAACGATATGGAAATAGTTCTGTAAAATTGGCATCCTGTGGGGTGCAACACATTTGACTGATTCTCTCATGTAGCTTTTATTGTGGTTATCAATTAAACAAGAAATGTGGAAGTAGTTCTGTAAAATTGGCAATCAGGGGTTTCAACACCTCCAAAGTTCTGAGATTTGCAATATATTGTGCTCAATGCTACTACAAAATGTCATCTATTAGTTTGACTTCGAAGGAATTGTTTGACCACATAACATATCTAAGTGCCATAAATGAATTCTTGTTGGCTGTTTTAGATATGGATGTGAAATGATCTTTTGTTGGGATACACTGGCGGGGTCAGCTATCAATGATAGAGAAATAGTACGAGGAATAAAATCAATAATAGTCTATCATTGAAGGGAATGATCAAACCAAAATATCAGCTCTTTGGTTTACTTCTATATGAACTGTCTCTAAATAATTATGGCAGATCTCGTTTACTTAATGTAAAATTTANAACTATTTAGCTGGTAATCAGGGTAGGTTTATGGTATGTTATTTCCATTTAGTTGACTGTCTTTATTTGAGGATCAATTTATTTGTCTCGTTTCTGAGCCTAGTTTTATTGAAGAGGTAAAATTACTCATATCAGTTTGTTGTGTAGGATATGTAACATGTTTTATGCATAGGCTGTATAGACACCGACATCTATTTAGATTTTCTGTACCTTATGATACTGGTGAACAAACAGCTTTTAAGGATAAGAGGTATAATGTTTTCATTTCTGTAATGTGTGAAATACTTTAATTATGGCATATATGCAACTCTTGATGATGATTAAATAGGAGAAGAGATGGTGGAACCTTTGTGTTGAAAAAGTTCTTCCCTCTGATGGGTTTATTCTCTCATGCAGCCTTTAATTGTGGATATCAGTGGAACGATATGGAAATAGTTCTGTAAAATTGGCATCCTGTGGGGTGCAACACATTTGACTGATTCTCTCATGTAGCTTTTATTGTGGTTATCAATTAAACAAGAAATGTGGAAGTAGTTCTGTAAAATTGGCAATCAGGGGTTTCAACACCTCCAAAGTTCTGAGATTTGCAATATATTGTGCTCAATGCTACTACAAAATGTCATCTATTAGTTTGACTTCGAAGGAATTGTTTGACCACATAACATATCTAAGTGCCATAAATGAATTCTTGTTGGCTGTTTTAGATATGGATGTGAAATGATCTTTTGTTGGGATACACTGGCGGGGTCAGCTATCAATGATAGAGAAATAGTACGAGGAATAAAATCAATAATAGTCTATCATTGAAGGGAATGATCAAACCAAAATATCAGCTCTTTGGTTTACTTCTATATGAACTGTCTCTAAATAATTATGGCAGATCTCGTTTACTTAATGTAAAATTTACTTGAACATATTTTCTTTCAATGTTTTTGATTATTTGGAGTTGTCAGCGACATTGACCAGTTCTTTATTCCCCCATCTCTACCTTTAAGGGAATGTTCTGCTTACGTGCAGTTTCTAAAAGTTAACAGCTAAACCAGAGCTCTACTCTACTGCCAACTGTAGGGAATTCATTCTCCACTTGTCCATCTCTGTAGTTTTACCGTCTTGCTCGTCTTTCACCAAAGTTTAAATTATTATCTTAGATGGAGTATTTTGATGAATTTGTCTTTCTCCGAAGTTTATATGATTATGTTAAATATAGTATTTTTATGGATTTTAAAAGGCAAATTTATTATTATAAAAAATTTGAAATTATTAAATAAAATATTTTGTTTTGATAAATACGTTGAGAAAAAAAGTAAGTTTCTCATAATTTATGAGAGGGATTTGAAAGTTGTTCTTTTATTTTATTTATTTTGAAATTCATGTATTTCTCATATTTATTCTTTCTTTTTGTCTTAACTTTAAAGTAGATTTTTAGAATTGTGAACTAACCTCGTCCACCATGAGTTTGGATAGATTGAGTTGAATTTTTTTTATACGAACCAATTTTAATTGAGAATTTGATTTACTTGGGTTAAACCCGTAAGCTGAGTTGACTTACCAACTCATTTAATTTTTTTAATAAGTATTTTTTGTTGAATTAGTTATTTTATAAAATATTGAAACTGAGGTTCGCGTGAAATTATTTTTGTATAGAATAATTAGGTAATATGAAATATTCATAAATTTATACTTAGTAATTTAATTTTATACAAAAACAAATTTGAATTGTTATGAAGTTATTAAAATATTTTGTTGAGAATATTTTGTGGTAACTTTGTTTTGTGTGAATGAAATCTTATGTTTGATTGGTTATAAATATAATTTAAGACTATTCTCCTTTATTTAGATTTGAATTAGAAATATTGTTATTTTTTTAGTTGAAAAAAAATTATAATTAAATGAGTTTAATCTACCAACCCGTGGTGGTTAAACCGAGTTTAAATTTTTTTCAGCTTACTAATAAATGAGTCGGATTGAGTATGTTCACTAAGTAATCAATCTATGGTGAGTCAAGTCAAGTTGGACTAGATGACCCATTTTGATAACAATAATTTTTTGTTTGATAAATGTTTGTTAAGATTTGGTTTAATGTCACCATAAGTCCTTCTTTTTGTCCAAAATCTTAAATAGATCACTTTTCTTTTTGGCATATCAATTGAGTCCTTTTTATTGTTAATTTGATTCAATTAGAGATCTGCCGTCAAATTCAGCAAAAGGACGTTTAATAGTTGGTAAAGTGGCATAATCACTTAAATATGTAATGACATGTGGCATTAAAATTGATTTTTGTTTTAAAAAAAATAAAGGAGAGAGGTGATATCAGATGGAGAGAAGGGCAAAGGTGGAAAAATTAAAAAATATTAGGGCTTCTGTGTGAAGTTTGGCACGGAGCTTGGAAGGGAAGCTGGAGAGCTTGGAGAGCTCGTCAATGGCGACACGTAGCGAGAGCTTGAAGAGGAGCTCCGGGTCGGTTGTGTTGGATTCCGACAACGAGGATATGGTGGAAAAATTAAAAATTTTTAGGGCTGTCACCTTTAATTGGGGAAAATATTGGGGAAAAGGTTGTTATTATTACTGTTCATGTGAAGGGGAAAAATCGCGTTGTATGTTCGATTGCCCATTGCATATGCGGTGGTAGAAGGAGAAAAAACTTGATTTTTTGTTCTTCTGTCATTATTATTCTTCAGCTCTTTGCTGCTTACTCACACATTCTTCTAATGTCTAGAGTGAATCTTTCTACCATTTTCTTTTCTTGTACGTGGATTTCTGCTAATAGAGTTAGTCGGAAAGGGAAAAGAGGAAAATTTCTTTGGATTTTGAAGTCTCTAGTTTCATGTTTGTTTCTAAAGTATAGCTTGTGAGCTTTTTCTTTTTATGAGTGGAGCGGGTGCGGGACGGGTTTCAACTTATCAAAATTCAAGAACGAGCCTTGCAAATTCAGGGGTTGGAGAAAGATAGGGAAAGTTTTGATCTTTTTGGGTGCAGATAAACAACTTTTGTCGTTACCCATTTAAGTTGAAAGTCTTAATTCACATCAATTGGTGTTTATGATTGATAAAAAGCTATTAAAGTGAAAAGATTGATTTTTTGATAACGTCTTAACACTATTGTTGTTTCTGCAGTTGTTTACTCCAAATTTTTGGCCAAAGGAACACAGTTGGAAAAGAAAGTCTCTAGAAAATGAAGACTTTTTACACTTGAATGGCTTTCCTCTGGATGACCTTAATGAAGATCTCTTAGAGAGGGTGCTTTCATGGCTACCAACTTCCTCCTTCTTTCGCCATACTTCTGTCTGCAAGAGATGGAAGTCAGCGGCTGCTTCTGTGAGTTTCAAGCTTGCCTAGGTCCAAAAATTTTTAATTTTTCCACCTTTGCCCTTCACTCCATTTGATATCACCTCTCTCCTTAATTTTTTTTAAAACAAAAATCAATTTTAATGCCACATGTCATTACACATTTGCTGAATTTGACGGCAGACCTCTAATTGAATCAAATTAACAATAAAAAGGACTCAATTGATACGCCGAAAAGAAAAAGGATCTATTTAAGATTTTGGACAAAAAGAGAGACTTATGGTGACATTAAACCTTAAGATTTTTTTCTTTTTAACATTAAGAATGTTTACTTTTTGACATTAAACATGGTTATTTTTATTAACATTGATTTATATAATTTTTAGTGCTTTCTTTCAACATTGATCAAAATAATCTATCCTAAATAGTAATTAGCATTTTTTAATTAATATTCACATAATTATTCTTTTAGTGATATCTGTTAGGATTTTTTTTATGTTAAAAAGGATGTCTTTTTTAACTCTGGTAGGTTATAATTTATTGGTTCAGGTTATAATTAATCATTTTATAGTTAATATTTTTAAGATTATTTCAGTAGAATTCAACCAAAAATTTTCAATTGAACTTTTTAGTGATTGTTTTCAGAAGGTTGAAGTATTTAACTTTTATTTAATAGTTTTTTATCTGGTGATAATTAAAAAATTTATTCAAAAAAATATTAAAATTATAAAATGTTTCGGTGGATTTGTAGGACCGAGAGACTAACCTTTTCTAACGTATCTTTCCTGTTTTCGAACGCCTGGATCGCATGAGCCGCTTGCCTTCCTTTAGTCTGGACCGTTCGGTTGCCTTCGGTAATGGTCGTTCAGTGGACTTCAATCTTGACCGTTTGGTCGTCTTCTTGACAGAGGGGGAGAGTACCTGCAAAAGGCACTCTGACGCTTAAGTTAGGCGTGTGATTTGAAGAGCTTTGGCTCTTAATTGAATATTCAGTGAATGATTATCACTATTGAGTATTTCGGAGTATGAGTTGAACATGAGTAGAACGTGAGTGGAGCGTAAAAAGAAGCTTTTAGC